TTTACATTCTAGATTTACATGTGAAAATATTTGAAGCATTTATTAAAGGAAATAATAAAGCATACACAGGATGATATTCTTTAACAATTTAATTTTATATTACTGCTCATTTTGAGTACAGCTCTTTACAATCAAGCTACTTAATGTTTAAAAATTGTTTCCTGCTTCCAGTTAACTTAGCTGTCCTTATTGATAGAATGGTTATACAGCTTCCTCTCCATCTTACTTAAAGTAGATGCTTAGGCTTTTGTCATGGCAAAGAGTGTTATACTCGGTGGAGATGGTTTATATTAGTTGTGTGTTACTACAGGTACATCTTTAAGAAATAAGTTCTTAAGATCGGATTTTAATATTGCATCATCTGAATGAAAAGGTTTTGGTCTAACATGGAGTCCTTATCAATTCTGCATTGATGTTGTGCATTTGCCACTTTTTTTTTTCTCCCAGACTGCAGCTGTGGCAGGATACAGGAGCAACACGAGCTCACTGTCATGGATTCAGAGCTTGGAGAAGGAATATTTGCATCATGGATAGTTAAAAGATCCATTGTGAAATAAAAGTGCATTTGTATTAATGGGATATCATATTGCTATGATATAATAAAATTTGTTTTATGATTTCTGTTGAATCAGAGCATTAAAAGTGTACAGCAATTTCTTTGGGGGGGGGAAAGAGAGAAAGCAGTGAAAACAAAATAGCATTTTTAAGTCTACTATAAATGCATTTTAAATAATTAATAGCATGTTTCTTTTTCCCCTTAGAATACTGTGATTCTGACCTTTTCTTATTTTTTTTTTTTTGCTTTCTCCAATCTGGTAAAAGAAGGAAACCTTCTGAAAATGTAACATTTTCAGATCCTCACAGTTAGGATCACCATGACTTCTAACTTCACTTTCTACACAGGGAGCATGTAATAAATTAGCTCCAAAGTACTTCAGAAGCATTCAGAAAATGCACATTTTCTTTGTTCTTTTTGCAGAGAAACATTTGAGAACCCTGAAGATGCCGTTTTACTTCGGGCAATGGCAAGATCTGTAATGGAATTTTCCTATGTTGACTGGAAAAATGTAGCCACCTCTCAAGAAAGACAGCTCAAAAACAAAGCAGCAGCAGAAGCCTTTAAAAAGCTGACAGTCCGATTTAGATGAGTGTTTGCTTCCTGAAGAAAAAAAGGTTATGCCTCTCTCCAGGGTGGAGATAAGCCCCTTAAGTAAGTTACTGTCTCTATAAAACAAGTACATTAAAACATGCACCTAATTAAATGAACTTCCAGCAAAAGAAGTATTAGTGTAACATTCCTTTTATCATCAGGTATGTAATACAGAGAGTGGAGAAATTAAGAAAATGAATGATAGTGCAGGTTGCTTGAAATGATATTCTTACCATACTTTTATTACCAGAAATTATTAAAGCTAAACTGCAAGTTATTTTTTAAGAAACTAAGGATAAATAATTTCATTCCTTACAGTTTCTACAGAATTAAGACTTACCGTGTTCACTAGCAGCAATTTGTCCTCCTCCATTAACATAAAGATATGAGAAAGCAACCATTAAGATATTGTCATTTCTGAGAGGGATTAAAGTATCAATTTGTGTGCTGCATGAATGCACTCAAAGCTTTCAGTTTTATGAGGATACTCAGTACAGTGGATATGTGATCACCTAAGAGTGCTTATACCTGGCACCTAATACTCTCCTAGAGTGCAGGCCTGTGCTTGCTGGTCCTTTTAAGAGAGACAGGATTTGCCATACACAGTGTGTTGCTCTGAGGCTGCTGATAGTTTTTAACACTCTTCTATAACCACATGGGTCATACTGTGCTGTAGCACTACATCTGTTGCTTTCGGTTTCTAAAGCTTACCATCCTAGAGAAGTTACTAGGAGATGTGCATGGACATGGAAAACAATGCATTTCCTTGTATCTTTCTCCCTCCATTCTGCCAAAGTCAATGCTATGTAAGGTATCAAAGCCTTTCTTCAGCCTGTAGTTTGTCTTCCGAGTTCCTTCTTTCTTCCCTGAATTAGCACAGGACAGTCTATGTTGGCAGGGATCTCTGGAATTTTATCTAGTCCAACCTTCCTGTTGAAAGCAGGTCTCAGATTAGGTTATCCAGTGCCCTCAAAGGGAGCTGAGTATTTCCAGTGCAGGAGGTATCACAGCTTCTTGTCAATCTCTTTCAGTGTTTTAATTGCACTCCAGAGCATTTTTCTTATATTTATGTGGAATTTCATGTGCAAATACTTGGGCCTATTGGCTAATCTCCTGGCACTGTGCACCCCCATCTTCTCTACAACTACCTCTAGGTGATCAGATCTCCCTGAGTCTTCTTTATGGGCTGAGCAAACCAAATTCCTCCAACCCTCTTACCACCACAGTGGCAGGATCTCTCTTGTTGTTTAATGTCTCTCTTGAACTCAGCTGACGAAAACAGGACACCTTTGACCTACTGTCTGTACTATATTTCTGTCTTCACTGATTCATGGCACCCTTTACCATTGTGCTGCCAGTGCATAATGTGAGCTCCAGGTGAGGTTATTGCTCACAGGGGCACCCAGGCCCTTTTCAGCACATCCCAGTCGGTAGTGCTGCTTGGGATTAACTCCATCCCAGACACAGAACTTTGTCTTTGTTAAATCTCATAATTCCTTTCACCTTTTTGATATTAGACTCCTTTCTTTTTTATATCAACTTCCCTATTTTTCTTGCTTCAAGTTCCATGCATTTTGTAAATGCCATTAGACTCATCTTTGAGATTTAAAAGGAGAATTTTACCATGCCTTGTAATCTTTTTGAGCATATAGCTGGGCTCAAAGAAGACAATGAGTTATTTTATATGTTTATAATCTTTAATGGTGAAAAGTCCATCAAAATCTTAGTTTTGGCTTTCCCACTGTTGCTCACAAGTGTCCCAGAAATACATAGGCTGAACAAAAAAAACCCTACCATGGCATCTAGAAGCTCTTTATGTTTACTACCTGTTTGCATTTGTAGTGTTTAAATGCTGGATGTTGTCCAACAAGCCACAAGTCAGTAGAGTCACTGACTGCAAACACATCCACCTTACTTAAAAGGCAGTGCTCTCCATATACTCATTCGAGCTTGGTCAGTTCATAGAATCATATAATGGTTTGGGTTGGAAGGGACCTTAAAGCTCACCCAGTTCCAACCTCCTGCCCTGGGCAGGGACACCTTCTGCTAGACCAGGTTGCTCAAAGCCCCATCCAACCAGGCCCTGAACACTGCCAGGGATGGGACACCCACAGCTTCTCTGGGTAACCTATGCCAGTGTCTTACCACCTTCATAATAAAGCATTTCTTCTCTATATCTGAATATCCCTTCTGTCAGTTTAAAACCATTCTGCCTTGTCCTGTCCCTACAGGTCCTTGTAAAAAGTCCCTCTCCAGATTTCTTGTCAGCCCCTTTAGATACTGGAAGACAGTTATAACGTTTCCCTGGAGCCTTCTCCAGGCTGAACAAGCTTGACCCTCTTAGCCCATCTTTGTATGGCAAGTGCTCAAGCCCTGTTACCAACCTTGTGGCCTCCTCTGGACTCACTCCAACAGTTCAATGCCCTTCTCATGCTGGAGACCCCAGAGCTGAATGCTGTACTCGAGGCGGCTCTCACAAGAGCAGAGGAGAGGAATCACCTCCTTCAATCTGCTGGTCATGCTGCTTTTGATGCAGCCCAGGATATGGTTGACTTTCTGGACTGCAAGCGCACACTGCTGGCTCTTGTTGAGCTTCTTGTCAACACTCCCAAGTCCTTCTAGGCTGAGTCTACTTTAGAGCCAGCCATTAGTGACAAAGGAATAATATTAGCTACTTATATATGAAGAAATATTCATATTACGAAACTAATTTCAAATTTTGCTGAGAATTCCCTTTAGTTAGATGAAGAAACAACTTGAAAATCTACCAGCATCAAAAATTTGAATCTCAACATGCAATATTTAGTTCACTAGAAGATGCATTCAGGTAGTTGCAGAAGGTTTCATATGTTCTTAATTCAACCAGACATCCTAGGGTGAAAAGAATGTTAAAAACCACTTAGCCTAAAAGTGAACTAGGCAGTGAGAGCTGTGATGAAGCAGGCTGGATGGATTCACAGCTGTTATGTTTACACCTAGCCAAACAGCGAGGGAGGTGAGAATTCAATTTTTCCTAGTGGGAGGCAGAAAAGTCTTTTGAGTCACAGACCCTTGAAGGTGCAAGAGTACATCTGTTGGCTCCACTGCTATCTTGCCATTTAAGAGCTTGCTAAAGGGATAAGTACCCTGCATGTGAACATTCATTCTACTTTCAGTTCCCTGTCATGAGATGTTTCCTCCAATACATGATTATTCCAGAGCCAGTCATCCACCCAGGCTTGTGCAGGACCTGTCAACCATGACCCTCCAACAGAAGAGCTGTTACCAGCTCAAGCTGAGGAAGGCAGCGGTAGCTCTGGAGCATGGATGCACACCAGGACTCCAACCTGGAGTGCAATTGCTCCGAGACTCACTGCAAAGAGAGGAACGTATGTCATTCTGCCATTCCAAGCCTCTGCCATTGCAAGTTAGGATGAGAACAAATGCAACTCCATAATCCCACACTTCACACCTACTTTGAGTGTTCATACTTTCTCTTGTCACTTGGGCTTTTCTTCTTTACCAAGAACCACTGGCTGGCAGAATGAAAACAGGATTAGTGCTGTGGATTCTACCACACTGATAAAGGGCTGGCAATTCAGAGAAACCTTGAAGAGCAACACACCCCTGTGAGCCCCAGATGTTCTGTGTAGATCAGGGAACCAGCAGGCCTTCTGCATTCCCAGACCGAAGAGTGGATAGTGACTACATCATGACCCCATATCTGAGTTCCAGGTGTGTATCTCTTGCTTGCCAACCATCATGTAATGAAACTTGTACACCCAAGCTACAGGAGGCCTGTGTGTGAGCAAGGAGAATGTCACTGTATGTCCCAGGTGTTACAGGTGAACAGAACTGCCACACAACTCCCTTCTTTTAAAAACTTTCCCTTTATTATTCACAATTTTCTAATCCTTGAAATTAAAACACAGGTGCACTGCCTGCACAGATGCATTTATGTATCCTCACTCTCACAGTTTTCAATATATTAAATAGTACAAAATTAATAGCATTTTTTCTCTGCTTTGAGAATGGTCCTTATTCCTGTAAGTTGAAGAATACTGCCATGTTCAAAATACCAGTTAACTCATCCAACAATCAGAGAATCTCAAATGTTGCCATCCTTATGCAGGAAGCGATACCTTTGGTTGTGGCATTCCCACTGATTTCATATAAGAAATCTGAGTGAAAACAGCGCAGTTAGGGGAAGCTATTTTCTAGAGGCAGTATTTAGTTGAAAGCCTAAGTGAAATCAGTTCCGGTTGTGTCGATGCACACATGAATTTTTTATGTAATTCACCAAGACCAGGTTCAGCATGAACATTATTAAATACTAATATCAAGCATCTTCTGTATCTAAGAAATAAGCAATTCCAGTGTGTTCTAAGGCATCTTTACCTGAAAGCTGAGACGTAGAAGCCATGATTCTTGTCAGTCCAAACATTTTAAGTCATTCTGATCTTCCCTTTGTTAGACTTTGATAAACCTGGAATATTTCTGATCAAGCCACTAGTGAGATAATTCTGTTGAAACTCACATTTAACAGTCAGCTTGAGATACCTGAAACAGCACTGCCATTTAATAAATTTGCCCCCAAACAGACACTACTTGTTGTGCACTCACTAGTCAAAAATATTTAGTCATGAACAGTTAGGAATTCAGATGAGCCTCTTCAGAAACTGAACTGCTACTGAATCCTTCACATAAAGCTTCACGAAGTGGTGTAAAAAAGAAATTTAACAATTGGCTTCCCAATACTTTTAAGCGAAGTTCTGTGTACTTTGAGGAAAAATATTTAAATTACAATTAAAATAAATTTTAGTGTCTGAAAACACGAATAATCCAAATAAAATGCTTTTTATTTTTCACTAAGTGGTTGATTAACCACAGATACTCATAGAGTTTTACTATGCTTACTACTGGTATACACACAAGGTAGGTCTATGCCACTCTAGTTTTTAATCAGATAATAAATACCTATTTTGACTATCTACAACAGAGCCTGAAGTACTTAATAGACAAATGAGCCAGTATTTCACCTCATGATGAACAGAGACGTGTTGCCTTGCAAAGGGGTCCTGTGTAAGCCACGCTGTAAGAACTCAGACATGGGCAGCTAACAAATTCCTTCGGACCCTGTGGTGCAGGGTCACAGCCAGAACTTTTAAATCCCTTCCTATTCTCTTCTTACTCCTCAGAACCTTGAATCTTCTGAAGGGCAATGTCAGCTAAGTCAGTCTCACTTTCCAGTGGTCTTTCAGGGGGCAGGGCTGGTGCCTCCATCTCTTTGGTAAATTCAGGTTGTTCTGCTTGGTCAGTAGCGTGATTTGCATCTGCTTTGGTAGCATCTGGACCAGGGTCTGTCTGTTCTTCACTTGTAGAACTACCCTCCACTAGTTGAACTTCATCTAAACAAAAGAGAAACTGCATCATCACTAAACACTGAACTCATATGCAAGCAAACATTTTTATTACTGAAGAAAAACAAATTCTAGGAAAATTAGGATCAATTACAAAAGTGACTAATTTAACCAGGCTTCATCAAAGAAGACCTCACACAGACAGAGCTCTGTTTGAGCTGGTGGAAGTTTACTCTGAAGCTTTCATTAATTTATCTTCAGTTTTGCTACACTACTTGTGAATATATAGAGGAGCAGAGTAGGACACTACAGTTGTTTCAGCTTTCAATTCAAACATGTTTTATTCACACTGTTCGCAGAATGGCTGAAACATGGAGTACAGGTAAGGGTGGTTCTTCTTTTAAAAAGACAGGCATGTATGATCACATAGGAAGCATTTCTGCATATAACAGACTGAAGACATGAACGGTTGCCCACAGTGAACTCTGAAGTGAGTCATCCTAGAATTTATAACCTGACTGCATGGAACAGCATCAGCTCCTGACTGCACCTTTACTTTTCAAGCAATGCTTTCAGAGAAAAAAAAAAAAAAGTAAACTAACTTTTTGCCCCGATTCTACTAAGCAGGGGCTGTGTGCTGTGCACTGTGCTAGCAGTTCTGAAAAGGAGGGAAGAGCCTAACTGAGGGCCCAGGCACCTTCAGAAGTACTGAACTGTGGTTTCAGCAAACAAACTATATATCCTCACCTTTGTTTTGCCTTTTTTCTAGTTTCCTTTTTTCTTTGGCAGCTTCTAGTTCTTGCTTCTCGTGAATTTCCTTCAGAGTCTTACAGACTTTTTTGTGGGTAAACCAGTGTATTTTCTGGCAGTTCTGGTCGCAGTACATCACCTGAAATGTACCAGAGCTATCAATTCATCTTCATGTAGTAAATCAAATGTACAATAGTCTTGCATCTCTTAGTGTACCTCCATGTATTAATGGTATTTTTAAGCAATTTCTAAGGTTACGTGGAGCGATTCTAACCTACATACAGATCTATAAAGCATAGTTGGTTTTATTAACTCTGAACGTACAGAAATTTTACTCATTCTCCATTCTAATCACACTCACTTGGAAATCCAAGTACTCCTACTAGTGAATTTCGGGCACCTCTCCCAGAAGTAGCTGGCTTGCACATTTTCAGAGTAGGCATACATGCCATTCCCTGCAAGTCTACACAGTAAATAGCAAAGCATTTGAAATCCTCAGCACCTCAGTGGCACTATTTTATGTGATTCATTGTAACTATGGATTCTTACCATTTTACATACTGAACATCTTTTGTTTGCTCCCTTTCCCCCACAAGTTGTACAGAATTCAGCATCCACAAATCCCACTTGGCCAGTAATAGCTTGTGTAAGTACAGAGAAAGCAGTAGGATCAGAACCCTGAAAGGTAAGACAAGAGGTGGAAATGAGATTAAAAACCAAGACTATCATGGGCGGACACAAAAGAAGAAAACTATTAATGAACTCAGTGTTCTTCACACACTGCCACCTGCTGGTAGATCACATACAGCAGGTTTTTACAGATTAATGGCACATAGATATGTTGTGTACAGACAACTATATACACAATGGTACTGTGTATATACAACTATTCACTGTTGTGCTCAGTGTACTCAGATGTGATAGATCAAATGGTCAGAACTTGAAATTGTCAAAAGAACTATTTTCATATTGGTATTTAGACGCTATTTGCAGTATTTTTCCCATGCAATACAAGCAGGAAAGTTTAGTGTATTTTACTGGTAACCATAAATTAAGGCTAACTTTGTAGGCGATGATGTAAATGCTAGAGAAAAAAAATGCCAATTTGCTCCAGCTCAAAGTAAATTCTTAAACTGTTAGATTACCATGGAATATGCATGATCATAACCACTACATCAATGCTAAAATGCCCAGAGTGAATCCAAGTAACTGCATGCCAAACTGGATGTCTAACGCTGCTAGACAGATAATTTACAGTATCTTCTCCTTTGCCCTTCTATATTACAGACAGAAACCCCATATAACAAACTGTATTTCTTTAAAGGCAGAAAAGACTACAAACTCCTCTAAGAAAAAAAGGGGACAGGAAAGAAAATGGTTACTTTAAAGCAAGTCTCAATGCATCATGATGGCTTATGTTTTCACACTGTGTTTATTTTTTTGGCTTAAGCAAACAGTAGGGATTGCATTAAGCCTCAGGATATTTGAGTAGACTTGGAGCCACTTAAGATGGAGGCTATTTTTAATTCGCTCAGCATAATCTAAACAAGTCACAGAACTGTTCCACTTCCCAGTGGTAGTACATATAACATCAAAGTCTCAGAGACCAGAAAGCACATTCTTAAAAAAGAACAGTAACTCTTGTGTAAGATTTGTTTTGATGTAATTAATAACACTGTAATGAAGTGTTAGCAAAGGCGTATGAGGAAAACTGAAGTGGGATTTTTTTACATGTAATTTAGATTTCCTAATTCAGATACAAATTTTGCTCTATGTTGCATCATCTTGTACATTGCACCCCTTGACAAAAGGAGCTTCACAGAATGTTTCTTCTTTTTCTACCGTTGTGCATTATCAACTTTTTATGTATGCTAGAAATAATGAATGCATGAAATCTGGGAAATTATTAGGTCTTAAACTGAATGTAGACATTATGAAAAAAGAGAGTGCAAAATGATTTTCATCTGTGTCTGAATCTACAATTTGTAAAAGCCAATCCGCAAAGAAAACCTGTATAGGCATTCCAGAGCAGGAAAAGAAAACTCTGAGACAAGAAACAAATTGTTTGTTTTCTTTACAAGCAGAGGTATATAAGCATTCATGACAGGCACAAGAAAAAATTACTAGCCGAAGTATTTTAAAGCACCTGTGTGCAATATGTAAAATAAAAATCACAGTGTGCCAGAGCTGAGGGACATCAAAAACTTTGTTTAATATAATACACTGCAGAAGAGATAAGCAGAAAGATGGTTTAGCTTAAACTGAATTTACTATGCAAGTTGCTTAGAAAGTGTGTTCCTGATAGGAAAGACTTACTATTTCGACAGGAGCAATACTTCTCACGAGCTGCTGCAGCAGTGTAGCTTCACAGTAAGGAAACTTGCGGATACTTTCTCGAATGAGCTTCTCTTGATAGACAGGGAAACCATCTTTATCTCTCCCTTTCAAGAGACTGAATTTTTTAAAACCAGAGTCAAATAAGAAATCACACAGTAGATGCTCAAGAGCAAATACACAGCATGCTGTACTCTGCCCTCCTTCAAACTACAGAGAAGAATTATAATGCAAAATAATTCAGTCACTTCATATTGTATGCTCTGGAACCACTACTTACTGATTGAACCACACACAGAAAAATAATCATCTACTGTAGACCCTACATGTGACCTAAGTAGCAAAATGCTTTGCTGTGTTTAAAAAGGAGCATTGTAAAAATAAACACTGAAGAATGCACGATACTTTAAAACCACAAATTCTGCTTTATTTGTGTTTAGTAATGTGTTACAGTCCTGATGCCTCTGTATTTATCTGGTTGGTTCCTACCTTTCTATAGGGATCACTGACGAACTATTTGATCTCAGTACATGAAAGCTGACTTCATAACTTCAGTATCAGGCAGAAATCCACACAAGCCTCTGGGGAATGCGATCCTTCTAAAAGCCAGGTCACTACTTTGATACTTAAGATCAACTGGCTTTATAACTCTGAGTAGATACTGAAGATGTTTTTAAGTCTCACCCAAAGCCAGCAGGATTTGTAGTTCTTGGTTACTTGCGAGTTTTTGGAAGAAAAAAATATAAATAAATAAATAAATAAATAAAATCTCACCCTGTATGACTGCTGGAAAGCAAAATGGCAAAAGTAATGTTCCCAGATGATGCATACTAGACACTGAGGAATTCTTTCTTCAAGCCCATCACTCATTTTTTCTGCACCACATGTTGCTCTCTGCCCCTTCATGGTGTCTGTGTGATTGCCAAGCTCTAACCAGTTCCAGTGGGTAGCTGAAACTCTAGGAGCGTTTCCTTTGTAACCCCAGGAAAAGACAAGGCCACTCAGACAGAAAAAAGGGAGTCAGTGCCACCGTGAGGTGACTGCAGCTGGGAGCATTTCAAAATTCACCTGGCAAATCCCTTATCCAAAACACGCAATCTATTATCACAGTTGTCATTTTCTGCTATCTGTGAAGCTGGTTCACCCATCTGTCTTCAGAACTCTGTAGAAACACGTACCTTTTGATAAATCCATCTAGTTTATCTTCTCGCTCTTTTAAAAACATGAGACATTTCTGGAACATACAGCTGATGTAGTGCATTTTCATAGCAAGTACTTCATTCATGTCTTTCTGCTTCATGCATTTCTCACAAATTAGATCCAGAACCCTGTAACATTTCTGCAGTGCTTCTGCTTCAGCCAACAGAGGGTTCTCTTTTACCAGCAACACGATCTGTGAGAAAGATTGAAGAAAATGGAATCCAATTAGGAAATGTATTTTTAAGCTTGTGCATTAGCATTAAAGGTTATATAGCTCATTGTGGCTAAATTTCAGTAGAGTTTCTAATATTCCCTTACTTCTGTCTTACACTGTCTTCCCCTTGTAAGTCACAGTTCCCATACAAGAAACAATTAAAATTATGACTAGCACTAAAAATATGGATTTTTTTTCAGACTGAGAACCTGCTCAAAACCCTTTCAAAAGAAATAGATACAGAAATTACCATCCACTGTCCTAAAATCTCATTCCTTCTAAATACCCAAAATAGACTGGATTTGTACAATTTAAGCAGTTCCGCAGAACACATCAACCTCACACAACCTTGTAGAACTTCAGGCAGACTAGTAAAGCACTGAACTAACCATTTTAAGATGAAACTATATCCTCTACTCCCTAAACTAGCTGCCACCAGTGCATTACTGTTTGTATGTACTGCAGATACCTAGCTGACAACTGTTGAAAAATTCCTAACTTTGCATGGTAAGGAACATGCACCCAAGGAATATGGCTATGAATTTAGGTGAATTCATTTCTCTGAACTATGCTGGAGGAACAAACCATAAAAAACATTGTTTTCAGCAAATATACTGGGAAGTAAAAATAAAGGTCTCTTGCCCATCCTTTCAGAAACAGCAGCAGCAGTAGATGTTACCATGGTGAACCAGTGCTGAGACAAGCACTCAGAGAACAGTGAAATTTGTTAAGATAGGAAATTGTTTCGTTTCCACTTCAAGTGGGGCCAGGAAGAAAACAGAATGCCAAAAAAGAAAGCCATTTATCGTTGTTGATGTAAAAAAAATAAGAACCTCCGATAGGCATTAGTTAGGTTCTGGTGTATATAAACACTGAAATAGCTTCATTTTCTAATCATGTCTAAATGTTGAGCCCAATTCTTTCTCATTTTCAGAAGCATCTGAATTAACAGATGATGGTTTTGATCTCAGCTGGACTCTCAAAAGAGCTGAATGCTTTCTGACATAGAGAAACAGTTCCCACACCAACAAGCACGTACAACGTACACATTACTTCACCTTAACAGGATGCATGTTAGTAGTAGTAATAATTTTATGTAGAGGTCCAGCTAGTTTTACTGGCAGTTTTGGTTCTTTATCTAAGCCTTGTGGTTTAGTATAGTAGTCCAGCCTTTCACGGGGAAAGAAATTGTTGATGACAGTCACACAGTCATGTTGACCTAAAGGCACACAAGGAAAAGAAAAAAACAAACCAAAAGAAATCACTAGTGCAATGAAATAAGAACAAAAACAACAACAACAAAAAAAAGACCTAAACTGAAATCTAACCTAAGCACTACAGGTGAGAATTACCCACAACGGAGCTTAGTGTGATATGCTTTGCACTGGTTATGGGCATACCTCTTGCTATTCTTTTGTATGTAACTTTTACGTTCATTAAGGGACTCCCAACAGGGAATGACTACATGAAGTTTCATTTTGACAGCTCCATCCCCTTCCTGCATCCTCTTTCATTAGCAAGCCAGATCTAAGAGAACAGGTTTTCCTCCCGAAAGTTATACTGTGCTGGTAGTCTCATACTGGTGTTAATGTTTTCTCAAGAGTTCTCCCCACTTTGTACTTTAAAAAATGAATGACAGTTGTACTGAGGTTTGTAGTTTTTCAGACGTGAAACAGACAGGAGCGTATTAACCTAAAGTGGGAGAAATTATAAAAACTGAATATGCTTGAAATTTACCAAAAAACCCAAGGACCATGATGAAAGTAACCAGATGAGAGAAGCTACACCCCCTTCTTGTTTTCTACATCTGACAACATGATGGATTACTTGGGTAAAGGGAAAGTAAAATTTAGCTTCTCTGGCTCAGTACTACATTCATTAAATTGACTGATCTATCTTGGCACTAATCCTATTAATCAGTACAAGATGACACAGACAACCACATTCCAGCATTTAAAACCCTCCACTATTTTAGAAGAGACTGTTCTAAGCTAGTAGAGCATAGTGTAAGACAAATGACAGGGGAAGAAGTATTCTCACTTCCCAGAGACAGCTGAATTAATTTTGATTGGACAGAGAATAAAAAAGAACAGGAACGGATTACAATATTCAGACTTTTAGAGAGTAGCATATCTCAGTATGCCCGAAAATATTTATTCTATCTTGATGCATTAAGATTTTATACAAGATCGTATACAAGAATTCTCCAAAATTATGATATAACATTCCCCATTCACCTAATAATTCAATTCAGCATCACATTGGAAAAGACTCTCCAAATGCAAAGAATAATTAATAAGAGCAGACTTCTCTGACATACTAGTGAATAGTTAACGTTTTGCTGTTTGAACCTCAAGTGAGCTATGTCAATCTTCCCCTCTTTGAAAGAACAGAATGAGGTAAGATTGAAATTGAAACTGCACTAACTGCCTATTCAAGGAAATAAATCTAAATGGCAAGGTGGGCTCTTGAATTCAGAACACCTAAGGGACTTAACAAGGGAGTTCTCAGATGTTTGAACAACATAAGAAGGTTGTGTTCAAGTGAAAATACAGGTCCTCCTTTTTGGTTTTTTTTTGGAAGGTTATCTGGGCAGTGATAGGCGAGTCATTAAAATGACCCTACTTTTTTCTGTTAGCATTAATCATAAAATCTCCCAGCACTGTCAAAGTGGTTAAAGAAGTGTTTAGGAAAAAAAAAGATAAGAAAAAGAAACATAACAGAAAAAAGCCTGGTTGCATGTTTTTGCCCAGGATCACATAGCATACTGGAACCCTTCTCTTTTTCTACTCTAGTTCAGGTTAGTAAGTACTGATACTTCAGAAGAGGTTCCAAGCCTTCTTCCCCTTCCAAATGCAGAGAGGGAAGGGCCAGAGGCAACCCTCCTATAGCACACTCCATACTAGTGGCAAAGCTCATATCAGAGTTCCTGACTCCTACTGCTGTGCTACGTTTGTTCCTTCCCACAAAGGAAGCTCCAGTTACACACTTTGCACTGCATTTCAGACACCTCCAATGTCACCAGCTTCCTCTTACTGTTTGGAAAGTGAAGACATTGAAAAAACTTGCACATGTGGAGAACAGCAGCATCTATTCCCACAAATGAGATAATTTGTGCTTTTATGAAGCTAAAGCATGGGAATAGGAAAAAATGTGGTAAAAAAAAAGCTGCACAACTGACTCAGTTCAGAACCAGTCATTAAATAATGCTCCTCCAAGAAAAAAAACATCAGAATCTAACATTTTACTTCTTTAGGAATTTAGGAAATAAACCAACTTTCACCTTACCCACAAAAGCAGCCATCTGAGCTGCTGTCCTTCCCACAGAGTTGACAACATCAGTCTCTGCTCCAGCCTCTAACATCATCCAGGTGATTTCTTTGTTCCCTGAATTTGGGTGAAGATATGGGGAATAAGAACTTGTAATTTTTTATGCTGTAGAAAAACAAGTTTATTTCTTAAAAGACCAGGAATAATGCTGAGGGAATTAAATGTTCTTAATGTCATTATTTTAAGAACAGATTAAGAGAAAGGCACAGTGCTGCCTCCATATTTATGGTTCCAGAGGGTCAAATCAAAGTAAAAACTAAATTCAGGCGGGGTGTAACTCTGCTCTCTGTAACGCACATCCAGCTCCCTGTGGAGCTTATGGGAATCATAGGCATGTAACTACAAGGAGCTTGATCCCTCCAGATAGCAGTATAGAAGCAAATTCTACTAATATAGCTCGACAGTTCAACTACAACATTTGCTATTCTAAGAAGAAAAATAAATCCAGTACTATTATGTATCAGGAGCATAGAGAAGAGAACAGATTGTTCCTTTCTCCACAGCGGGAACTGGGTGTTCAGACTGGGCTAAATACCAAGTAAAATGAAGCTAAAATTTTATGGGAAAATTAGATGACTTAATTGGTGCCCTTCAGAGACTAATAAGGACACTTGTCACCACTGTGTAGTTCTGCTTTCAAAGGTATTCTTACTTTATCAGGTTTTGTGCATATGCTACATACAGAAAAGTGAATATAAAAAAAAGAAAGGGGTGGTGGATAGAAACGAATGCTTCTTATTTAAAAGCAAAGGCATTGTGTCAGTGTATGGTGCTCCTTTTGCACTCACAGATAACAGAACTTAAAAGTCAGCTTTCAGGAAGCATTCAAACCTGGGATGACAGGTTAAAAGCTCAGCTGCGAGCAAATTGTAAAAAGACAGCATTTTCCACAAAGCTGTAGTCATTTAACAACCTCTGAGAGTTTGTTCCCAGTATCTGCTGATACTGCTCAATGCCACAGAATGCTGGAATTTCCCAATCTTTTTACCAAAGCTGTAGCAGAAAAGCAATCTGAAGAGCCACTTAAGGTTCATAAACACACACGCCCTTCTTTTTTTATAATTATGAGGAAGGAAGATGAAAGAGGTTAAACTCTACCTGCTAAGAAATCTTAACTTCCCTAGAACCTCTTTTTAGGGAAAAAGTGCCCGGCCTACTAAAGAAGATACTTAAAATAACCTAATATTCCTAAACCTAATCTTTTTCCCAGAAGGAACAATGTTCTTTATGGAGCATCTTTTTCTCACTGAAGGAAATAATTGTTCCTTTCACTGGGGAAAAAGAACAGCAAAAGGAAAGCTGCAAACCACCAGCTGAGACAGGAGAAGATATACTGCTATAAGCAGTCTCATGGGGAAAAAAAAATGAAAAAAAACCCCAAAAAAAAACAAAAAAAACCCCACAACAATGTGATATAACATGTTTTTCAAAACTTTCTAAACACATTTTTAAAAGCCCAAAAATAATTGCAAAAATAATGGAGAAAGGCAAAATTTGAAAAATACTGGATTGGTTTGATAAGCCTCAAGTATTACTACTTCCTAAAAAAGGCAGCTTGGTGCAGCATCTTTTTCAGTGTAACACAGTATAATTCAACAGAATGCATACCGCTGCACAAGAAACTGGCATGTGAGACTGAATTTTGAGGTCTGGAATAAAAAGGACAAGTACAGACAGACTCTATGCCTCAAAACACTGAACAAAATTGAGTTTTATATGAAAAAAGATCCCAAGCCTGAGGAGCTCTCCCATTCCACTGTCCTGATGACTCAGCTGTTCTTGACATATTTGCATGTGTCATATAAGTAACTGTAAACCTGAATAATAAAAAAACATGTTAACATTTTCCTTTAAATTATTAATTTATGGCAAATTGTGCCCATCAATGTATCCAAAATCAGTGTTCTAAGCGCAGTAAGAAATTACCTGAAAGTCCAGCAAACATCAAGGCAGTATATCCATGCTCGTGTTCATTGCAGTTAACATCAGCTCCATGTCGCAAGAGCAACCTGCACATGTCTACTTTCCCTTTGTAGGCTGCGTGCATTAGAGGGGTCATGCCATGCTGACAAGCAAAAGAGAAAGGAAGTAGCATACATAAAAGAACTATTTATATCTTTTGATCTTCATCCCACTGATAACATGTACATACATACTCAGTATAACTACCAAAGCCTCATGTAAGATTTGTTAGAAACAAAATCTTCATGAAAATACATGGTTACTAAAAAGATGCAGTAGATTGTCCGTTTCCATATCATTTGCTCTGACAGTGCTGTGCTCTACTTGAAAACAGACCATTTACTGCCAATTTGTCACTAGCCTTTAGTGTGTTAAAGACAACTAATGCTTCTGTTAGCAGGAAAAAGCTTGGTTTAGAGAATTTGTTTTGCTCCTACATGATTTCTTTTCTCTTCTGCATTATATGATAAGCAACAAGAAAATCAGGAATAGGCTCTTGCTGCTTTTGCCATTACAAAGATTTACAGTTTCTGAAACCCATCTTGCTCTTTTTTAGTCACGATTACTGGTAATTGTGCTATCCTCCTCTCTCTCATTTATCCATCTTTGTGATCCTACATCAGCCAGAGCTCTGAAAGCCACTGCACAGATACACACCTCTACCTAGACTTTAACAATGACACCATCTCAAACCTTGCCTTTGATAAACAGCACCAGTGCAGAAAACATTAGCTTCAGCAAGGGAGGCAAAGTGTTTTTATCAGAATGCAAACCTGGGCAAACCCTAGGGGAGATTTTCAGAAGCAGGGTGAATTGTTAGTGCAGGCTCTCTCCTCTCAAAGGGCAGGAAGAAGAACATTCCTGTTTGAGGAAACTGCATGACATTCTCGTTTTAGAATCTAGCATGCTTTTTCCAATATGCTGCTTATTTTCACTTAACATCAAGTCAGGATTCATATTATCAGCCAAGACACAGTAATTGCCCAAGAACATTCTCCAACAAGGGAGTGTGCTTCAGTTTGTCCCTGAAGGAAAAAGAAATGTCATTTTCTTCCTTTTTTGCAGGTTAATGCTGTATGCACAAATACACTCGGGTACATCATTACCGCAGATCTGTAAACACACGGTAATAGGACACTCTGACATAATGCAACTGTCAGTTTGAGCCTTAATATATTTCTTGTTTCAATTTATGGTAGAATAAAATCCAAGTGAGTTAAATTTAACAGTATAATAAAAAATCCTAAAGATGATGGAAATCGGGGAAATTAAAACTATAACAAATTTTAAGTACTAGATTGTCATTATTACCCATCCTAACTGAAAGCAATAAAAAGTTATTACTTTATGCATTATATTTTAGTAATGTGAAATATTATGGTAAGCTGCAATATAAGTTGCCATCAAAGAAACAAAAAACCTGAAGGGATCACTTCAGAAACACAAAACAGATTTAAGATCAGTTTTGCTAGGTTTCATTTGTGGTCCTACAAAGGTTAAGTAAAGGCTTTTTATCCTAATATTTATATGTTCCATTACATTACATTGACAGCCATTCCATTTTCATGGACCCATCCCAGTCTGGAGTCATAGGATGGATTCCTCTCCTTTGGCAGTGCAGACAAGAACTGCTGTAAGGGGAGATGAACACTGTAAGGTTTTTGACTGGAGAAGGAACTTTAAGAAAACAATGATTTTAAGTTTGGTTACATCTTGAATGCCAGTTGTTTGAATTAAAAACCACACATGATGATGGCAGGACAAATGAAAGGGTTGGATTTTTTTTTTTGTCATTCTGGGAAACTTTCCTTTTTGCCTCCTGGGAAACTTCTTTAAAAGCCTTTGATTAAATTTTAAAGGTGTCAGGCTGTGGTTTGGATTTAAAAAAAAACCCACCCTATCAAGCCAAAAACATGCAGACAGTTGTTACAAAGTTGGATGGATAGTTACACTAATATCAGCCTTTCACATTCACAGCCAACAAAAAAGGGACAGGCTAGAAACAAGCTTATCTGGAAAAGCTTGGTGTCCTGTATCATGTCCCTGTGCAGAAATCTAAATGACTGCAAATACTCTTCCCAGGCTGAACATCAAAGACAGGTCGAGCAACAGTCTGTTTTCTGACAGACGACATTTGGATTTTCAAGACAACATACTTAAAAGACTGACTAGAAGACAAGTTTATTAAGCATAGAGATTAAATAAATTATTATTGCTCCAGTACGGAACATAGGATAAGGAATCAATTTTCTAGCAGCTACTATGTAACATTCTTCTGACCAAAAATTCAGTCTTTTAACCTTAATCACTGGGACAAAAATAATAATCAACCCCAGTTTCTTGTTTACGTTGCAGGGATTGTATGTGGTTTACAAGGAGCAAAACTTCTGCAGGGCTGTAAGTATTCCCTGTATGTCTGACTGTACAAGGGTAATAGTTTGCAGCACCTCTAGAAATTACTTGTCACCTCCCCTGACTAAGTTCTTCAGGTCATCAACCAAGAGGGACTCCCTGGCACAATGGGGCTATGTCTCACGGCACAGCCAGCCAGCCATTAGATACCACCCTTCCCAGTTCCTGGTGCTGAAAACCTACCAGAAGCAGACTGAGGGATGGGATTCCAAGAACTAAGGTGACCTAATGCTGCCACGGGTGGGGAAAAAAAAAAAAGGACCCTACAGGCTCAGTGGGCTAAATCAGCTGGAATTAGGGGACAAAAAGGATTCACAAGGCAGGAGGGGCAGAGGAGTACCAGAACCAGGGACAGGCTGGACTCTGACACCAGATGTGGGAGAAGCAGCAAGCAGGTCAGCCTATCTCACTCCAGCACCTGGGAGAGGTGTGCTTCCACAGGATGAGTAAGACCAGATTTGATTTCTAAACAGAGAATAACCTGGAAAAGCAACCTTCTGCTTTCTAGGGACTAGAGAGAATGTTTTCAACAACAGTGTTTCTTTGCCTTCATTGAACAGAGGAATTGGGGAGCAGGGTGGCCAGGGTACAAGAGCTGGGTCAAAGGAAGAAAAACACAGAGACCTCCTTGCATGCCAGTAACCTGTGCATATTCAGAAGAAAAACTGTGTTGCAAGCATTAAAACACTCATACTGACTGTGTAAGAACACGCATCATATATGTATGTTTTTAAAAGCCATTGTTTTGTGGATAACAATGCCTCTGATTCCTTACTAAAATAGCCACACTGACTTGTGTTACACAAGAGGAAAGAGGAATCCAAGTGGTCCCACCATTCCCAGCGTTTTTTTACCCTTCTCATGCTCACTTCACCCTTCTTCTCAACCATGGAAACTTGGCCAAGATGTGGCACATCTTAATAGGCTGGATCACACAGCCGCAGCTCCCTCAGCAGGTATTGGGATACATCATGACACTGCATGTGTAAATACCAGCTACCTAAATAAAGCAGGAAAGGGCTGTAAAACCCCTAACTGACAAATTCATATAGACACTTGTATGCTGACAATGTTAATGCATCCACATCTCCAAGCTCATTTTGCAATGAGGAACCCAACCCCATATTAAGATGGAAAGTGCCTTGTTTTAATCTTCAGATTCAGGCAACTGAATACCAGTTCTACTCATTCAGGAAATTTCCAGCTGAACACTGACTGTTGGTTTGGCTTTTATTTGAGACAATACTTGGGAAGTTACTAAAATGGGAACAAATGATGAAAAAAAAAAGGGCAGGTGGCACAAGTGCTCTTAACTGCATTAGTTATGTATGTCTTCAAAATCAACTCTTCGAAACTGAAAGGAAGAGCACTACTGAAATTAGACCAACTCATCAAGATTGGCTCAGGTAGCCATTTGGAACTGGATTGTAAAAATGCTTTCAACTTTTAAAAGAAATGGTAATGAATGCTGCTCATCTAGAAATACATGACTATTCATGGGATGAAAACCTTCAGAAATGTCGCCCTTAAAGCTTTTGAGTAAGATTGCCCTTACCTATCAAACTTACTGCAAGTAAATACATGCACAAATCATTTTAGCTATAGCTAAGTAAGAACTAATTATAACGTGAAATACTGTTCAATAAGCGCCAATTGTAGCTACAGTTCTCCTTTATAATCATGCTGAACTGTAGGCTTCATATACGTAATACATTAGATTCATCTGATGATCCTTCTGTTCATCTGCAGTGATGAAAAGCTGAAGTCTGCATCAGTCAGCAACCTGAATTGAAACCAGATAAGTCTTAATAGCTGCTGGATTTTCTTTGGTTTGTGTATTTTGGAATACTATAGAAAAAGAAATAAAAAATCATAAGATAGAATTCTTTCTCCTCCATAAAGACTAAGGATCTGGGCATTTTCTGCTGGCATAGGAAGTCCACATTGGAGTAGCAAGATAGATTAACTGAAGAACCCTCCACTGAACATAATGAGTATGAGTAAAGCTACACATCTCACACACAAATAAGCGGGCTGCTGCTTCAATTCCCAGGAAGCATTAAGGTCTGTAATTAGCATATAGACCATTTCTACAAGATTTATTTTGTTGCAGAAGTGAACAGCTGAATTACCAAACTAGAGGAAAAACTAATGTGGCTAATGCCAAATGACAGTTCTATATATAAGATTATGATGAATGACCCTAAAATTATTTTAACTACAGAAAAAACATGAAGCCTTTTCAGGTCAAGTCTCTCTACCAGATCTGCAGAAAACATGGGACTGTAGCAGTACAGTGCTCTTTGCAACCTCAACCACCAACAGGACTGAAGGAAACTTCCAGTTTCCACAGAAAAACATGCTTCCTCTAGACTGCCCTTCTGCAATAATCTGAGAGATCTCAGCTTCACCCTGCAAACGGATGGAGTTAAAATCAGCAAACTGCCCACATGAAGTCACAATGCTATTTACAAACTCTGTACTCCCAGGGGAAAGAAAATTCCTGAACAAATTCTTCCATACTATGTTTCCAAATTAGCAAGCACTCCATCTAAAACAGGACAAAAACCAACTATGCAGTGTGCATTTATAAATGAAACACATTTGCATTTGTTTTGCATCCATTTCCATTGCCCACCTACATGTCCATTTTAGGACATCTGAGCTTAAATACCCCTGAAGTTTTAAAGCTGCCAAACTGTTAAGGACAAGCTTTTTGGAAGAGCTATATACTATGTTATTTCTTGTTTCCATGAACGCAGTGATTAAGCCTAAAGACCTTTCCTTTCTTCAACTACCTAAAGCCACAAAGGAACATCAACAAAAATCTGATTTGGTCAGAAAGGCTGCTAGAGAAAAAGCAGCATTGTATCTGCTGGATATCTACAACCTTCTGGAAGAGGGACATCTGTGGAAGTAATTTGAATAAAGGTGTCTTACTTTGCTTCCAGTAGAGCACTGCAGATTAGTGAGTTTGGGCACATGGGCAGAAAAAGCAAATACTTTTTTGTTTTCTAGATATATAGCAACAGCAGAAGAAATGCTGAAATATGGTGTCCAGCTCATGCCTACAGTTTTGAAGGAAAAAACTCAAACAACTGGAAAGGATTTGTAAAAGAGCCAAGATTACAGCTCAGCCGCTAAAGAAACACAGCTTTAGGCAAGTTTCTTAAATAGCCAGTGCATTTGGAAGATGTTAAAATGTGACCTGGTCCTTGTCTGAAGGTACGTAGGGAAAAGATTGCTGATTGACAGTAGTGTTCAATATAGAAGAGGCAGATCTAAGCAGTTCAAATACAGGATCAACCCAAAAATTAAAAGGGCATCTTTGTGTTTATTGTTTAAAATCAGGAAGTGCAATATGGAACAGCCTGCTTCTGGGTGCTGTGGATTCTCCAGCCTGTGGAAATTATTAAATTGTGACTGCATGTTTGCTGTACTACAGCTAGAAGAAAGACTTAACATTAAACCTGTGCTCATTCTGTGGATTCTCTCACGTAAAAAGGACTTGAAGGAAGAAAATGAGTTTTTTAGTTCCCAACTGAATTGTGCTCCCATTTTAATATCTAAGCATTCAATTTTCAGCTGTTTCCTCATTTCTTAACATTAATAAAATAAGTAATAGTAGTAATATAAACACTAATGTGAATTTCAGCATAAGCTGCTAAAGCAGCAGAGGAAGAAAATAAAACCTGATGCATTCAAAGCAGTCTCCAGCTGTGGCAACATTGAAAAACAGATGAAGCTAATGTTTAACTGGGGTTTCACACACTCTATTTGCATCTAGATATTAGAATAACACATTAAAGGGAAAATGGCTTAACAACAAAAAAATTCTCAAAATTGATGTAAGATGACTGATGGATTAAGTCTTCTAAATAAATCTGAACCCTTTCCTGTTTAATATGCATCATTACACACCACTCTTGGGGATAAAAGGGTACTGCAAGAAATCCATTACACCTTATGTGCCTTGGGTCTATTTAGGCAGATGTGAGCATTAGGCAAGTATCATTAATACTATTTCTTCTTTAACAACAGCCTGAGGCATAACTTGGTTATGGTTTCTATTAATAAACCATATCCTCTCAACAGTAATCCTGCACGTTGCACTAATCCTTCATCAAGAGTGCAGTCATTCAGCACTAGTCCAGCAATTACACTAAAGGAAAAGCTTTTACAGTCCATACAATAAAGCACACTTGCAAACATACTCATATTATATCTCGGGTTCCTTCTAAAGTTTACTGTAAGCTTAGTTTGACTAGTTTGTCAGAAGCTTGTTGAAATTCGTACATTAGAAATTAAGGTATAAGTATTTAACTGTATTGAAGAACAATCAGAAAATGAATCTGTTGGCAGCACAAGAAAGGCTATCAATATTACAGAAAGGAAACCAGATGAACTGGTAGTTTTGGCCCTGTCCAATTTTGGGCCTTCTACTATGACAACGTGGATAAACTGCTTCCATGTTACACTTCATATTAATATTGCATGATCTAGAAAACATGAACATCACACAAGGTTCCTTTCTCCGCAGACTTCCTCCCATTTTCAGGTAGCACTTTATATACTGCATGTCTACATCAGCCTCTGCAAAAGAGAGCGGGTTCTCCAGTTCTGACTCAGCTGCTCACCCTCCAACTATGTTTATGGTTCTGCAAAGATAAGGCTTTGGGTGATAAGATGCAAGCACTAGATGAAGACAGGTATCACTCACGCTGTCTGCTGCTGCCTAAGCACAGGGAACTAAAGTTTGGTGGAGGGAACAAGAAGTCAGGGAGCACCCCCATCTGTCTTCCTGCAGTGTTCATCTCACCTCACAGACACACAAGTTCATGCTTGAACTTGAGAGAAAATACTGCCAGTGTAGTACTTTAAGTCACGTTAATCTTTAAAACAATTAGTAACATTTAACCTTTCTTTGGAAAAAAAAAAAACAAAAACAAAAACACAAAACAGTAGCTCTTCAAAGGTTCGTTATTCAGCTGCAGGCTGGAAGTACCTTCAGGATAACTCTGATTTCCAGCGGTCTGTATAACAATATAATGTAACAATAAGAAGGCCTTCAGACCTAGTATTTTCCTTTCTAAACCCAGCATAATGCCTGTATAATTTCACTGTACCTCATCCAAGCAATTGACACGGACATTCTTGCTGCCTAGTAGCCTTCCAGCCTCCTCAGTGTTTCCTTCACGTAAAAGAAACAGACAAAAAGAGAGAAAAAGTGATGTGAGAAAACGGATAAAATGAGAATCAAGAGGAAAAAGATCAGTTCCATTCCTGATTAAAATCAAGACCTTTGTAGATTAACCGCCAGTAAACCACTTAATAGTCTGGGTTGGAAGGGACATTAAAGATCATCCAGTTCCAACCCCCTGCCACAGGCGGAGACACCTTCCACTAGACCAGGTTGCTCAAAGCCCCATCCAACCTGGCCTTGAACACTGCCAGGGATGGGGCAGCCACAGCTTCTCTGGGCAATCTGTGCCAGTTCCTCACCACCCTCACAGGGAAGAACTTCCTTCCTAAAATCTCATCTAAATCTGTGAGTTTAAAACCATTCCTCCTTGTCCTATTCCTACCTGCCCTTGTAAAAAGTTCCTCTCCAACTTTCCTACAGGCCCTTTTTAGCTACTGGAAAGCTGCTCTAAGGTCTCCTTGAAATTCTGTTTCACAGTACATTCATTGCTGAATGTCCTTTGCACATCTCTGACACAGAGAAGCATTTTAATATAATTGAGAGTTAATCTCCAAAACTATAAATAAAATCTTACAGGTTCCAATTGCCTCAAAACTACACATAGAAATGCATGAAGCACATCAGGTGCTTTCAGTTTACCTCCAACTAATGAACATAGCTCACTGTTTTCAAAATAGTTTGAAGTGTAGCCATCCAGACAGGCCTGTGAAATTTGTGTTGCTGGACCGTGAAACCCAGCTGTTACAGCAAGTGTGACAGAAAGCCCCCCAGCAATAAGCATATGCACCACGGAATATGGTGAAACTGCAACGCTTACACAACATGTAAAATAAAACAGTGCAAGAGTAAGAGGTGTAGAATACTCCGGACAAGCTCAAGTTCACTTAAATTAAGAACATCTTGTCTGCTAGGACATCCTGGTCTGGCAACAGCACACAGGGAAACCTGTAACAGGCTAAAGGGCTGCATTATCCCCAAGAAAACATCTTTTTCCAGAACACATTAATAGAAGTCATTAGATAAACTTCAATGTACGTTACTAATACAAATACATGTAAGAAAGATGTAAGCTCTCCTTGGCAGTCAACGACTGGGCTTCCCTAGCCCTAACCGTGCAGCACTGCGCACTTCCTCCACGCCAGGTAGGCGGTACCCTTTGAACCCCCGGGATGGCACAGGTCTGCCCCACGTTCGGCCGCAGTGGGAAGCGCTCTCGCTGCCAGGCGAACGGCGATGCTCCCGGCTGGCGAGCCGCCGGACGAGGCCCACGGGCGCGTGCTGGGAGGCTGGCCCTCACCACAGGCCCAAAGGCGCCCCGCCTTGTCCATGGTCCGGGCCTGAAGGGAGCCCCGGGCGCGCGACGGCGGGGACAGTAACGGCCAAAGCGCCTCGCCGAGGGGCCGCGGCGCTGCTCTACGCCTGCCACCACAAGTCCTCAGGGGTGCTAGCGGCGGGGCCACCCGGCCTCTACGAGGCCCGCCGGAGCTACGACACGCGGCAGGGCATAACCCCCCCCCGCAGCCACCTCACCAGCAGCGAGGAGGTGAACGCGGTCGGCCCGGGCCCACCGGAACAGCACTACCGCCGTCAGCCACGGAGGGGCGAAGGCCCGACTCACCTCTAGCTATCACTCCCAGCAAATCCTTCTCCTCTGGGCTCAGGTCACCTCTCCGGGGGGGAGCCATCGCGCCCCCGTGTCCCACAGGCGGTAAGGCGGACCCGGGGCGGTGCAGCCCGGTGAGGCGCGTTCGGACGGGTCGCGGCAAAGGTTCAGGCCTACAGCACCCCTCTCACACCCCCTCTCTGCCGCCAACCGGGCGGTGCGCGCCCCCACCCCGCTCCTCATGGCGACTTCCTCCTGCAGCTCCGCCCTGCTAGGGGACGACCGCGGGGTAAACCATTCCTGCCGAGCCGTGGGGAGGATCGGGTGTCGGCTGGCCCCTTTCGGCGGCTTCCCAGCTCGGTACTGATAGCGAGAAGAATCTTGTTTCTCTTTTGGTCCCTGTTTTGAGGGTAAGAAACAGGATTTGCATTTATTTTGTCCCCCCCCCTCTAGCTTTCCTGCGGCTCCTACTTTCTACCCCCTCGGAGAAGTGACGGCAGTGGTGCGGGCGGGCGGAGGGGGCGGCCACAGCGGCGCGCGTGTGTCAATGTGTGTGTCCTTCACTCCTCCATTGTCTGCTGCCGCTGCTGCCGCCGCTGTCGCGCCTGCCCTCCGCTCCCCGGACCGCGCAACCACCCGACAGGTGCGGCGGGCGGCCCTCACTCACGGCCGGGCTGGGGAGAGTGCGGCCGCTGCCGGGCGGGAGCAGTGCCTTAGCCCCGCGGCAGCGCCGCCCGGGCTGGTGATGTCCGTGGGCTGCGGCGGGGCAGCTCCGGGCGGGAGAGGAGCGGGGCCTGTGCTCGGCGGCCATGGCGGCAGTGACCGGGTGCCCGCGGGGGAAGCCCGAGTGGGTTTGCGCGCCCCGGCCGGTCTCGGCTGGCGGGCCTCTGCGGGGGGTCAAGCGTCCTTCGCCTTAGGTGGGCGCGGGGAGCCCGCTGTGAGCCCCGAGAGTCCTGGGCCGGGGACACTGGGTCTGCGGACGCGGGGGAGAGGCGGCGGTGCGATGGTCCCCGCAGCAGCCTTGCCGTGGTACTTGGCTGTCTGTCCGTCCTCCTTCCTTCCACAGGGTCTGCTGCACTGCTTGCTTATGGCTTCGGTTTGTGGGATTCGTTTTTTCTAGGTAGGGAAAGGTCTTGGTTCGGCTGAAGAGGCCGAATACAGCCCTGGTTGTGTCGTGGCATCGTGCCTCTGAAAGGAAGCTGGCTTCGTTGACTTGGGAAGTAACGCGTTTGGGGTGTTCGGAGTGGTGCCTTTTGTTAGCGCCTTTCTAAAATTAAACTGCCGGTGGAAAAATGATCTTTGCTACAGATCCAGCTTTCCACTCCTCCGGCTGCATCTCGGTAGGCACAGGGAAGAGCTTGCAGATAGGCGGCAAGGGACAGAGACCGAGGGTTAGCAATCCCTGGTTTCCGCGTGCGTTTGTATGAGAGAGAAAAGCAGAACCCTAGTACTCAGTGCTGACTTTTTGCGCTCCTTTGACCTATTCTTCAATATATGGGTTGGCTTGTTGTTTTTTTTTGGGGGGGGGGGGGGCAGTTCTTGTATCCTTCCTTTTAAGAACCTGTTTTTTTCGGTAACTAATTTTTGAAGGCATAGCTGTATCAGCAGGCTGATTTTTTTCTTTCCTTAGTACTTCCAGGTCATCTCGTGGCTACTTACATGGAAGCTCTCAAATACTAATCTTGTTCTCTATTTTCACATTTGTTGATTGCTTGACTGACTTTCAGGAATGGTAAAGTCCTGTTGTTTGCTTCCTGGTTCGTAGAAGAGTGTGGTCTTTGAATCTAATGTATCTTTGTAATCACTTGGCTGCAAAACCAAAATGTGCTACGATTTTAATTTAACAGACAAGCCAAATTGTGTATGTTTTCCTGATTAAAAAAAAAATAAATCACAGAAATACAGGGGTGTATCATCATCTAGTTTTACTTGAATCAACAAGTGTAAATAAGAGAGGTTGCTTTGGACTTCGGATTATAACAGATTCCCTTGATTTTTTTTTTTCCTGTGGGAAACCAAAAATGTCTTGAGGAAATGCCATCAAGACAAAAGTGCCTTTTATATTCTGGTCTAGAAAGATATCTCTGTGTAGTGCTAAAAGAAGTCTGTTGCTGGCTCAACTGTGAAGGCAGAAATTAGGGTTTAAGTGGTCTTTTGTTGGTTCACTGCAGGCTGTGAATTTTACCTGCTGTGAACAAGTTTTGTGATGTTATAGTAAGCTGATAATCTCTGTGGCACTATTAAATAATAAGAGCTTGCAAGCTTCCTTTCACACTAAAAAACCCAAAACTGTCAGGCAATCAGCATACAGAAGTATGCTTATTATATTCTTTTTTTTCATGTGAGAATGTCAGTACTGCCGTTGCACCTTAGTTCACAGAGTGAACAGGCAAACAGTTTTTCCTTGGCTGCCTCACTGCAGCTCATTTGGTTACTAAGGCTGCAGGAGTGCAGAGGTAATAAAATACTTTAATGCTAGTTAATAATGTTTCATACTCTTTCCCTATGGGAGGCTTCTGTGTGACCTTCACTCCCATAGTATGAGACATTTAATAATCTTTGCTTTATTCTTGCGAGATTGTGATTAAGTAATGAAGTGACATTCCCTCCATTTTATGTATGGAATTTGAAGCATGGAGGCAGCGAATGATTTTTCTAAGGTGGCGTAAGGAGCCTGTGTCAGGGCAGGGAACATGAAAATGTACGTTCTGTACCTTTGTGTCTTGCCTCTTAATGCATTTTATTTTATCTACTGTATCTCTTTGTTTCACATATTTAAGTTGTGGGTATTACTGTATGGTAATTAATAATTTAAATTGTGGGTGTTACAGTGGGAGAAGGAACTGTTAACCTCAGTGCAACTCAGTATATTGTTTAGATTTCAAATCATAAGTATTACATAATAAAAAGTCCTTATTTCCTCATCAGGTGAGCATCTGATATTTTAGATTTCTAAAGCAGGTACCAGTTATGGCATTTTTTCCTGTGTTTGGAGGTGTGCTTGTGGGAATTTATGATGACTGTTGTAATCAATGTGTAGGTGATCCTAAATACCTGATTTTTTTTCTGCAGTTGTTAAGAGCAAGATTCATGCAATAAAATAACAAGGATTTCCTTAATTGAGTAACACTCACTTTTGGTGAATGTACAAAACAATAAGCTTTATCTTGGCTCAAACCTAGGAGAGAGGAGACTGCCTTATGCCTTGTAGAGTACACTATGAAACTCGCAGTCTTTGGACATGAAAGAGAGGAAAAGGAGATGCTGAACTGATTTCATTGTTTTCAAGCTGGTTGCTGTCAAATGACTTGGAGAGAAAGTAATGTGAAAGCCTTGCTTGTGTCTTGGAGGCTTGCTTGAATTAAGGCTATGTATTATGTTGCTCTGCCAATGGTAGCACAGGTCAAAGATCTTTAACTTCTTTCTGTGCCTCAGCTTGGCAGGATCATAAACTTGCTCTGACCCACTATGTTTTATCTAGGGAAAATAATAGTTAAAACAAGTCCTGTTATTCCTAAGAGTTACTCTTCTAGCTCCCATCTTACTGGTTCACAGCTAACGACTTCTTCAGCTAAGAGTGGTATCTTTGTGTTTACCTTTGTATTTGATAGCCTGCAGTGGGTTTTGTTAATGTAAGTAAGTTTAGTGTCTGTAGCATCCTGTGGTTATAACTTTCACAGCTGCTTGAAAAACAAACCTCTCTATTTCTTTTTGAACCTCTTACTTCATAGTTTTATTTGATCCCTCAGTCCCCAGTTCCTGCTGTAGGAATGGAGAATGTTCCCTGATCATCCATTATGTGCCATCAGGCCTTGACAGACCTGGTTTATCCCTTACCACTCTCTTTTTTTATTAAGCTGAAGTCTTAACTCTACTTTGTCTTTCCTATATGAAAGCCATTTCACATGGTTCTCAAGTGCATTTCTGTAAAATGATTCTGTCCTCTGCAAGGCCTGGGCTTTAGGAAATCTCCTTCACATGGAGCTGAGCCTTCCAGACAGACCTCCACTGGGTTTTGGTCCTGCTGTCTCCAATCCTTATGGTTAAATCCTGGCCAAAGTGAGGAGTATCTAAGGGTTATTCATTAGATCAATTCAAGTTCATAAAAGTTCAAGGGTTTTTTATTGCTAGAAATGTCTTCTGTTTTTTACTCTCAGATCTCACAGATACTTGTCTGTGGATAGGTTGCTTTTCTCCCTATGGCTTTGAATAACTCTGGCCTCATTAAGTATTTTTATTTTATTGTAAGTGGTGGGTTTTTTTAGATTTTATCTGGTTTTGGATCTTGGGACAGACACTGGATCTTTGATATGATCTGTCAATGTTGTTAAGTCTGTTTTTTTACCAGAAAGCAGATTATAAAAAGACTGCAAAAGAATAACTGAAAGCAGCAAATTACCGGTGAGCACAATGCATGTTTGAACACAACAGGTATACCTTGGAATAACAAGGTATTCCTATAGCCCAGGCATTCATCTGAGACAGGGATAGGGATTTCCATCTGCTACCAGTTCCCAGTGGGACCTTGCAGAAAGTTGGCTTTTGAATTTAGGAGCAAATCCCAGCATTTAACTTTGGCTGTGTCCAAAATCTGGCAGGATGAGTCCTACGCTCACTTCATCTGCTTTTGAACTCTGATGTGAAGCATATGAGAGAGAAGGACACCAAAGTATCCTCCAAGAGGTTGCTACGTCCAGGGGTAAGCAGGGCTGAGGTGAGCAGCACTCTCCAGTGGGAAATATAGGACAGAGCAGTGTGAAAGTACCAGTTTGGGACTTGAAGGTTCATACAGTCTGATTTAGCACAAATGTCGGTGGTTGCTCCTAAACCTAATTTGACTGAGTGCAGCCGATTTTGGCATTTCTGCATCCAGAATATAGCCATCATAGTAGCCGTCTGTTTCTTTAGCAGAAACTGCTCAAAAGTTTACTTTTACAGGCCGCAAAGTGCATTTTTAGTATATGCTTTTATTTCTGTGTTTATCTTTAACTGCTACTCATGCAAGGGCAACCCACATAATCTTCCCACAGATAAATGGGGTTAATGGTGCAAAGAAGCAATTTCAAGGCATTCAGGTATTGTGATGGTGAGGGCAACGTGCATTCCTTAGATGAATATGCACTTATACTACCTGGTTAAAAGCTTCTTTGTTAAAAAAAAAACACAACTCAAAAAACATTCCTTTCATAACAAAACCAGGTATGTATACCCGTTGCTCCATTTATATGCTCAAC